GTACAGATGATAATCTTTATACACCTAAACGAATTCAAACATCAAATGTCGAAATTTTTAATCAGGGGCGTACGAAACTGGGGGAGTTTAAGGTAGAAAATACCCTATTTATTTTGGCTTTAGTTTCTCGGTAATTTCAGCAACAAAATCTTAAGTTCGATAGTTTATCACAAAAAAAATCTCTCTTGTGTCGATACGACTTATTGTTTTAGAATAAAATTAATTTAAAATTTATGTTACACTCCGATACAGCATTCAAATAAATCAGAATTTACAGAATAATAAAAGCAAGAAATTCATATTTTTTAATCAACCTCAACTAATTAACATTACATTACAGTAACAATAATAACATTAATTAAATGAATTTGCCTAAAATTTTGTAATTTTATCTTAAATGGTTTCTGAAATATTAGCCCCCTTTCAGGGGGTGTAGCTCCCTTACCAAGCATTTTTAGATACATGTTTCGCCTGTTTAAATTTGTAACGATAAAAACGGAACAGCCTGTATAACAAAGTGCTCAGCATTTGCAGCCCCCCCTTGGGTACGGCCCTGCCTATTCGGACATCCAAAATGCAGCACCCTGTACTTAGAGATTTTTGCTTTTTCCTGGTTACGGCCCTGATTCAAAGCCGAATTTTGTCCGAAACGACATTCCGGAGGAAGCCGGTCGGACTGCAATTTCAACCGGAGAGTCCGTCGTAGGTAGGGCCCCCTTCCATGCCTCGCGACTGTGGCACACCTCTCCGAAGGTAGCAACATGTAACTGGCCTTAGTTGGACAAAAACCACGTCAAGCGTCAAGTCAATCGCATGAAATTTTCACTGAAAAATGTCGAAAAACGCGACGAAAATCGAATTTTCCAAGACGTGGAAATTGTAAACAAGAGAGTGTATTGATTTTGGGTGTCGCGTGTATATTTCGACGTCGTCATGCGCGGTGTTGTTGGTGTTGTTGTTGTTGTTAAAACGTGGTGATTTAGTGGAAATTCAGCGATAGATGATGATATGGCGGAAGTTAAACCCTTGTATTCGACATGTGTTGCCGTTTTGGGATTTATTTGTTTCGTTGTTGGCGCTACTGCCGTCGGAATACCCATGTGGGGGTATTTCGACAATCTTAGTGGTAAGTCGGACGCTCACGGACGAAACGAACTCTATGTTGGGACAAAGAAGACGCAGAAAGTAGGCCAAAGGTGGAAATGAAATAACACACCCACGAAAAACACAATTGCAATGTTTTATCGTTATCAACGAGAAGTTTTGTTCCGCTTGCAACCATATTTCACTCATTATCATAGAACTGAGTTTAAATAAAAATTTGTGCGAAATTGCATCGTGAAAAATGCCAACATCCTGTCGTAAAAGTGGTCACAAAATCGTAAAATTTTCCAGRCAAGCCAACATCTCATTTGGGATTTATTTTTTCTAACGGTTTACTCACCTGATCCTTATCCTTGATGATGTGATTCATGTGTGTAATTTGAAAAAACTCACGAGCAAAATTACGCTTCACTTTGTTTTATTTTTATTTTGATAAGAAAACAACAAATTTTGTGCACATGCATTAAGTTGGGTTAATTACCGGTGATTCATCTGACTGATTAAATAGTTGCTTGAAATTGAAATAAAAAAATGTACTCTCGCTTAAGGTAAAAAAAACTGTTAATAATATTTGGAATTTCTTTTTTTAGTAACGTTGCATTCTTTAAAAATCACTTTTAATGTCAAAGATGTCTTTAAAAAATCGAAAAAAATTTCATGTCTTTAAAAAAAACTAAGTTTTTTAAATGGTGCAGTTAGTAGGATTTGGATTCTTTTATTATTTTTTTTTCTTGTTATCACCTTCTCTCATTAATAATTTTGTTTTGCCAATATTTCATGAAATAATTAATGAAAACAAGAAAAAAACAAAAGAAACAGCATCTGAATTTTGAGTTTGTCAGAAGTTTCCTAATTGGTGCAGTTGGTAGGATTCGCAAAATTTGTACATTTTTTAATGTTACAACTATACTTTAAGAAATTTTGAAGTAAATTTATTTTCCGATTTCCTCAAATATTCTTATTAATGATTCTCTTTTAATGATATCTTATCAAGTAAATGACTAAATTTAAGTTAAATTCACAAAATTTGCATTTTCAAAAAAAATCAGAAGAAACAACGTTTAAATTTTGAGTTCATTAGAAAATTTATTCTAGTTATAATCAAATATTGTATTCACAAACTTTGTTTTATTTTTATTTTGATAAGAAAACAACAAATTTTGTGCACATGTATTAAGTTGTGTTAATTACCGGTTAATCTGATTGATTAAATAGTTTGCTTGAAATTGAACTTAAAAAAAAGTAATCTCGCTTAAGGTAAATAATAATAGTAATAATAACAACTGTTAATAATATTTGGAATTTATTTTTTTAGTAACGTTGTATTCTTTAAAATCACTTTTAATGTCAAAAATGTCTTAAAAATATTCCGAAAAATTTTCATGCCTTGCTTAATCATTTGATTTCACATTTGTGAGTTTTGTGCATTTAAAAAAAAATCAGAAGAAACAGCGTCTGAATTTTGAATTTATTAGAAAACTTGTCCTAGTTATAATCAAATTTTATTTCGACATTTTATTTTTTTCTATAAAAAACAATAGTTGTATTGTTTACAAAACCAAGTTTTTCTAATTGGTGCAGTTAGTAGGATTCGACAAATTCGTACGTTAGTCTGAAACTTTAAGAAATTTTGAAGAAAGTTTTATTTTTCTATGGTACATTCCTTAAATATTTTTATTAATGATTCTCTTTTACACATATTTTATCAAGTAAATGACAACAAGTTAAGCAAATTTTGTGCATAAAAAAATCAGTAATTTTTTTTAGAGTTAAAAAAAACATTCTAGTTATAATCAAATTGTATTTCAATACACCCTAGTTGTGTATTTTTCACAAAACCAAGTTTTTTGAGTGGCGCAGTTAGTAGGATTTTCAAAAATTTCAAAAAGTTTGAAGAAAGTTATATTTTTAGAGGTTGGATTTGATTTCCTTTGTCAGATACTCTTATAATGATTTATTTTACTCATATTTCAAAAAAAATCTAGTTTTTTATATGGTGCAGTTAGTAGGATTTGGATTTTTTTATTAATTTTTTTTTCTTGTTATCACCTTCTCTCATTAATAATTTTGTATTGCCCATATTTTTTGAAATAATTAATGAAAACAGTGACAAAATTCAAGTCAAGAAAAAAAAATAAAAGAAACAGCGTCTGAATTTTGAGTTTGTTCGAAAATTTATTCTAATAATCAAATTATGTTCAACATTATTTCGCTTCAATAAGAAACACTCTAATTGTATTTTTCACAAAACCAAGTTTTCTAATTGGTGCAGCTGGTAGGATTCGCAAAATTCATACATTTTAATGTTACAACTGTAGCTTTAAGAAATTTTGAAGTAAATTTTATTTTCCGATTTCTTCAAATATTCTTATTAATGATCCTCTTTTACTGATATTTTATCAAGTAAATGACTAAATTTAATTTAAGCAAATTTTGTGCATTTTCAAAAAAAAATCAGAAGAAACAACCTTTAAATTTTGAGTTTTTTACAAAATTTATTCTAGTTAAAAACAAATTGTATTTCAATATTGTATCACAAACTTTGTTTTATTTTTATTTTGATAAGAAAAGAACACATTTTGTGCACATGTTAAGTTGTGTTAATTAACGGTGATTCATCTGATTAAATAGTTTGCTTGAAAATAATCAATGTACTATACAATTTTTTTTATTTTACCATTTAAAAGTCACTTTCAACTTGCTGGGACACCCTGTATAATCCTCTTTAAACAATTAGAAATATTTATTTTTGCGCCGGCCCTAAAACTTGGGACACTCTGTACAATGGTCTTATTTATGAAATTAATTGTAATTTACTTTACTATTTTTTTAACTGTGCATTTTTACACTGAATATTGAACAAATTACAATAAAATACTGTGTGTTTTAATTTTTTTTTGTTCAAAAATTAATTAAATACTGAATTGATGACTGAATTACTAATGTTAAAAAAGTTCCTCAATCGAGCCAATTACGAATTAATTAGGAAAAGTCCATCGGAGGTCAAAACGTGTGGAATTTAGTAATTAGTAACAAACACCTGTAATGTGATAGTTTGGGGAAACTACCTGCTTGAAAATAATAAAAATGAATCACAGTAAGAAAACTGAGTCACCCTATTTTTGCAGATAAATATTTAAAGAATTTTCTTTTCGACGATTCTATCTGTGATGTTCTCTAATCGAAATTGTATCTCCCCTACTGAGATGACAGCTCAATCTTCGCCAAAATCAAATATTAGAAACGCAGAAGTGATCATAAAATCTCCAAACCAAAATTCAAAATGAAATTCTCGCTTCCTGTGAGAAAAATTGGCTTCCTCTGATCGGATTTCGATCACTAATAAGTTCATCGAGTCGGTGGTATTGTATGACAGAGGGTTATTGACCAAGGGGCAGTCATGTGTAACACCTGTGTCCCTCAAAAACAGCTGGTTCAAAGCAGAGAGGAAATTGAAGTGTCTTCAGTGTTTGATTTTCTAAAATTAATCAACTTTGGAGGGGTATTTTAAAAACAATAAGGCATTCACATTCTTCACTTTCACATATCTGAGTTATTTCAATGTTAACATGACTCAACGGTGAGTTCTTTGAAAAACATCAAATGCGTTGCACTTAATATTCATTCAATGCGACTTGTGTCAACGACGGAAAATTCGCTGCGATCTAATTACAAGCAAACATGGGAAGCCACCAATTAAGGGAAAAAACAATTTCTTTTTCTCTATTCAAAAACAATATAATAATTTGCTAAGTTTCTGAAAGTAAAATTATCAACAAAAGGTTTAAAAATCAATAAAAATATGAATTTGAAAAAATGAAATAGAAAAAATCATCCAAAAAATCAAATACAGAGCAATAATAATTATAACACCTAATTGTCTGGATTTTTTAAA